GACTAATTAGAGAAAGGTTGAAAATGGCTCAAAGTCACCAAAAGTCATATGTCGATGTTAGAAGAAGAGATCTTGAGTTTGATAATTATTGGGTCTATTTGAAAATTTCACCCATGAAGGGTGTAATGAGATTTGGTAATAAAGGGAAGCTTAGTCCCCGATATGTAAGCCCATATCAGATTTTGAGGCGTATTGGTAAGGTTGCTTATGAGCTAGAATTGTCTAATGAGTTAGCATCAGTGCATCTAGTTTTCCATGTCTCCATGTTGAAGAAATGTGTCGGTGATCCGACATCTATAGTTTCCTTAGAAGATTTGGGAGTTAAGTAGAGCCTTTCTTATGAGGAAGTACCGGTAGAGATCTTAGACCGACAAGTCAAGAAGTAAGAAATAAAGAAGTTCCTTCCGTGAAAGTTTTGTGGAGGAATCAGTTAGTTGAGGGTGCTACTTGGGAGGCCGAGGCCGATATGATGTCCTGATATCCTCATCTCTTTCCTTCTACCCCTACTTTAGCTTGAGGTATTGAGTTCCTCATGGTTTACTCTTTTGTTGTCATGTGTCTTCGATATTTCCACGATTTCCTTATTTATGCATGTTCATGAAAAAGTTTAATTTTTGAGAAAATGAGTCAACTTGATTGATTTCTACATGTTATGTGCATTTAGTATGAGTTGCATATTGACTTCATGGTATGATATTTTGAACATGCTTTAGCTTGAAGTTGATGTTTCCTCCTCGGATATGAGCATTTATGTAATTACATGCATGTTGGGTTGTTAGGTTTGAGTTCCTACCTTCCTTATGATATCTTGAATCTCATTCTAGGACGAATGATCCCAAGGGGGACATAATGTAACACCTCATATTTGAGAAAGGGTAAAAAATTCAGCTTTTAAGAAATATGGTGCCATGACCAACAGACACCCCGACGGTCCATCGTTTGATGCACGAACCGTAGGTTGGATCCTTGAATTGGCCAGTTAGTTTTTTCAAAATGTCTAGTTCCAATTCATTTTCAATGGTTCACCAGGACGGTCTGTCGTTCAATGTACGAGTCGTAGGTAGGTCTCATAGGTGAGCCCCATCTTAGACAAAATTCAGGATCAAAAGTCAAGATCCACAACCACGACCAACGAAACGTCGTTGGATCCACGGTCTGTGTAGGGGGGTCCATCGATCAAGGCCTCAGAACCTAGCCTCTGATCCAAACGACGCCCTACCAGGACGGTCCGTGATCTGACAAACAGAACGTCGATCTGGCCATCATCTAGATCGGTAGTTATTATTTTTAGGGGCTTTTGGGTCTTTTCCTAATTATTTTATCCTAATATTATGTCATTTTACCCTTCACCAAAACCCCTATATCCCCAAAAAATTTCCAATTTAAATCATTCTCTCAAATTCACAAAAGAAGACCTCTTAAATATTACTCTCTCTAGAAGTTGAAGAAGAAGAAGGGTCCAATCTAGGGTTTCAAGTCAACTCTACAATTCTCCCATTGAAGTCAAGCTTTTGGCATAAAGGTATGATAGCTTTCATCCATGGAGTTTCAAACTTCTCCAATTTTCAAAGTTAAAATTTCCCAATTGAGTTATGGTTTTCTTCCATGTCATGGGTTCCTTTGATTGTTGATCTAATTGATTGAATTATGGTCTTTTATGCATGAATTGAGTTAATCTCTTCTCTTTTTTTGATGAAACTCATGTAATTTCCATGTTTTTCTAAGTTATGATCATATAATGTGGGTTTTGGATTATGAAAGAGAAGAGTATGAAATCAAACATGTTCTCGTGAAATTTATGTAAATGTTTTAAGGATGCTTTGAGAGTGAAGTATCAATCATGTTGTTTATTGTTGTGTTGTTGAAAGGATTTCTCATATACACATGAAAGTATGAATTGTGAAAGGTTTTCTCACATGATAAGGGTTCTTAGGGTTAAAAGGTTTTCTCACCTAAAATGAATCAATGCTAAGAAGGTATTCTAATGATGAGGCAAGAGGAGATTACCCATTCTCTTTAATTGAATGACAAGAGGCGATTACCCATGTCACATGATGTAAGGACGAGAGGTGACTACCCATGTTCCTTTAAGAGCTAAGATGAATATAAATAAGAACTATTTTGTGGAAGTTAAGCTTAGAACCGAGTGGACAAGTGGTGATTACCCATGTCCCATAAACTATGTGCCAACATAGAAGTGTCTAGATAGACATTAGCTAGTGGGTCCACATAAGCTAGCAATTGATGGTCCTTACCGTGGCAAGTAGGACAACTATTTTTGGTGTGGGAGACACCGGATTCCATGTTAATAGCTCACATGGTCTTATATGTCAGTTAAGGCTACTTCCCACAAGCAAGTTATGATGAATTAAAGTTACTTCAAGGAAGTATCTCATGCGTGTTTAAGATGATGATTATGTGCATTGACAATGTTTTATGACTCGTGTTTTCTAACTCTTATCACATGTTTAGCTTGGTCATTGCATCCTAGAAGGTATCTCTCTTTAAGCATTTTTTCATATGTTTTATGCATGGCGATCATACTTGGTACATATTTTGTACTAACGCATACTGTTTCCTACATTTCCCCAAATGAAGGGTCCGACAGCCAGGGTTCCAGTTTCATGGTTAGAGTTCGTTGAGGAGATTTCGATCTTTGGTGAGACCTCATCCTTCGAGGACGGATATTTATTGTTTTCAGTTTTTCCTTACTTTCAGTTTTTGAACATGATGTACAGGTTTTGCCCAGATTTCATTCTTATGTACTAGATGGCTATTGAGACGATGCTAGAATTTCCGCTTTGCTTTATAACAACTTTGATACATTGAAACTGTCTTTCAAATATTTTTGTCTATTTCTTATTTCTTATGTTATGAATGCTAAGTGGCTTGTATGGGGCCTCTTGGGATCTTATACTTCATGTTACGCCTAGGGGCTACTTTGGATCGTGACAGAATCATGATGTTCTAGACTAACCTTTTCATGCCAAATCCAATACCATGAGTTTTACTCACCCGAATTCGATTTCGAAAGGCCCGTGAACTTTTTAATGTCTTAGCTACTAGAAAACATGATCCAAGCTCAGACATATCACCCCATCCATTCTCTGAGACTGGCCTAACTTATAATTTTTAAATCACTTATACGTGAAAAGTTTTCTAACTCATTTCTTTCACTGTTGGCCTACCCTAGCAACCGAAAGGAATCGCTACATTTTATTACGACATTATTTCAATTGTACCTTATAATTAAATCTACGAGTTTGTAAACGCTATTGGACACACACTAATTATTAAAAAAATTAAATTGAAGTGCTTAAATTTTTTTGTATGTTAATATGAGTTAGACAAAAAAAAATCACCTTGTTAATACTTATAGTGGAAGATGTTTTTCTAAGAATGACTACAAAAGGAAAAAAAAAATACATATTTAAACAAGAGCAATTTAGAAAATATACAAATACAATCGAAAAATAATTTATCTTATATCATCATATGGCAACATCTTTATCTCTATGAGACAATGATAAAATTTGTGTACACTCTTCTTCATCCTTCTCCATTGGTGTTTTTATTGTTTGCATACATGTTTTGCATCACATACAAAAATTGGAAAGTGAATAAATAAAATACTACAAAGTACAAACTAAAGCAGTTTTCTTTCATGTATAATTATTTATCACAAAATTTACTTTTATAATAGTATTCATATTATATTTACACAAATGCATTTTATATAATTTGACGTACACATGCAACACACGTATCGAGGATATATATATATATATTCACGGGTGGCAACTAATTCATCATGGAGTGGTTAGAACTTAAAAGAAAAAAATTGAAATGAGACTACTAAAGTATAAATTATAAAGTAATATATAGGTATTGGATGTATAGACTTGCATGAATATGAATGGTTATTAAACTTATGGTCTAATTGACCATATAGAGTTACTCAATTTTATTGTCTCAAAAAAGTTATTTAATTTTGATTAGTTAGTTTCCATAGTTATCTTAGTCGGAAATACTATTTTCAATACCTATTTAATTATGTGACATCTATAAGTTTCTAGAAAAATAAATAAGTTAATATTTAGATTTATTTAGGACCCAACTTATATTAAACCTGACTCAATTCTTAACCATGGAAGCTGATAGGCAAAGCTAAATCACTTTTGGAAGATAATACAAAGTTGAGTGGTTTGGATGATCAATTACTATAAATTGAGTGGTCATTTAAATTTTCATTTTTTTTTAATTTTTCACTTTATGTCTGATATTCATATTAAAATTTGACTAATCAGCATTTTCGTATCATAGGACTCATTTCTAATGACGGCACTTTGAAGAGAATTTTTTTTTTTCTTTATTGCAACAAAATCATAAAAGGGTATCACTACACGGGCATAAAATCAAAAAGGTATATATATCTGAAAATTATTAGATGGACAAGAATACAATTATATTTTGGTTAAGACTTGTATTTATTTTTCATCCCTTTATTACTCTTGTCTGGTCCCACAAATTATAATATCCCAAACATTAGCATTAGAAGAGGATTGTGATAGACAATAGAAGACCAAAAAGTCATCTTTCACTAACTCTAATAAATAAAAAACAATTTATTTTTTTGTCTTTGAACAGCATTAGAGTCCAAGAAAGAAGCAACAAATATCCAAATATATACATAATAATATTCTTGTGGTTGGTCCACATATGACTATTTTTTAATCAAACAACTATACACCAATATTTTGAATGCTAGCTTTTAAGCTTTAGTCTATAGTTAGGGACATGAATGAGTATATTTTCTATGTTTATTTAGCTTTGAAGATTATTTTAGAATCAAATAAAATGGTAGTAGTGCTTGTGACTTTAAGGCAATCCTTAAATTCAGGAGCAAAATAATAAGCACTCAAACTCCTTTAGTTACTTCTTAAAGAGCAAATTCAAAACTTCTCAATTTGCCTTTTGTCTAAACTACAATTCTCTACCCTATGGATTTTTCATCTCCACCTTCAACTTCTCCCTATGTGACAGCACCAACAAGTCCAACTTCTTACATGGTGCAATATTACCATAGCGCCCCGGCTAGCCCGGGTAAAAGGGTTGGTAGCACTATAGCTGAGGGTGGCGATTGTGGGTTGACCACCCTGAATGATTTTGAATTTGAAACAAGCAAAAAGTTTGATACAAGTTGTGTGGAGTTTGAGACATGTCATGAGAACTTTGACCACTCTGAAGATGATCAATCGTGGGACGAGAAACGAAGAGAGAGGGGTGGCTCACTCCCCGAGATGGCATTTGCGGATGAACTTTTCTCTAACGGTCATGTCATGCCCCTTAAACTACCACCAAGGCTCCAATGTGAACGTGACATCAAATTATATACTAGTCAACGATCGATTACATGCTTAACTATCTCTCCAAGTGCTATGGTTAAGTCCTCGTTTGCTCGACGAGGCATCGATCCTTTTGTTGTTGCCATGCAAAAGGTGATGAAGGAAGATAATAGGGGGAGGGATAGCAATCCAAATCATCACCATAGGCGCACAAGGTCACATTCACCATTTAGAGCACAAAATTTGGAATGGACTATTGAGGAGATGAGAAAAGAAATTGTTTCCATGTCACCAATTCAACCTTCAAGCCCAAATACAAGAAAGCCCATAGAGTCTAAGGCCAAGGGAGCATCATATGGAAGATGGGTTCTAAACCATTCTATGACTATTGGGCCAACCTCAAAAGAATCCAAGAACCCCAAGAACTTGCTTTTTGGAACAAAAGAGCCTAAGCTCAAACCCAGCAAGACCACTTCAAATGGTGTTGCCCAAAAAACTAATGAAGGGAATGTGTTTGTGCAAACCAAAATGCAAAAATTTAAAGGAATGCTAGTGAGATATGCAACATTTGGAAAAGAGAACAATGAAGGAAATATGATAAATCCAATTTCAGCACTATGGAAGCCTAATTACTTCAAGAAGTTGAGTTTCAAGTTCAAGGGGAATAAAAAGGTAAATGGAGGGGAGTCAAAGTTGGTGATTGTGAAGTACAAACCAGCACTTTGTTTGGGTTATGGACTTGAAAGTCCTAGGTAAATGTAGTAAGCTTAAAGAAAGAGATAATCTATCAATAGTGTTTGTGGTTCTTTATTTTATTTTTTTCTGAAATGTAAACATGAAAAACTCCTTAAACAGTGTCATCTTTGTGCAAGGGCCATGCTAATCTTCTATGTATCATTCCAATTTTATCAGACAAAATCCTTAAACAATGAAAGGAATGAAGTGTAGGATTTTTCATTTGAAAGGAGATGAGTAGTTTATATTCCATATAGAGTTGAACATATTTGTGACATTTTATCTTCAATGAAAAGCTTTTTTGAATCATCATTTAATATATCTAAGAACAAATGAAACACAACAAAGAATAACATAGTTTTCGACCCAAAAACTTGCTAAAGGATGAAAACTCCAAATAGAAAACAAAATTTCTATCCTTTCATTAATCAAAAGAAAAATAAGTAGCGTGAGGTTAAGTTTTTGCAGTTGTAGTTATTTTAGAACATAAAACTTATTAAGTATTCCAATAACCAAGCTTCTGTCCTTTCATTGATCAACAGAAACCTTAAAGGTGGATCAACAATCTAATTCCTTGGTACAAGAAGCTAAATTAGAGATTTAATAGATTTTACTAAACAAATCGATCTGTAAACGTGGTAATCATTTTACAAACAATTAGGATCAGTGTCGAAATAACTCCCCCACTGATCACAAAACAATAGAAGTGGAAGTGGTATACTGAAAATGGCTAACTTCCAAGTTCAGGTGTAACTTCCTCACATTCTGAAGGAACAAATGAGGTTTTTGCCAACAATGGAGAGCTTGCAACTTACTCCAAGACATCGGATGGCCACAGGCGTCTCCACATAGAAATCTCTTCATTGCTATGAAGTTTCCGGATTCCTCCATAAAATCCATCAGCCTCATTTCCTTCCTCGCGATGATCTTTCCTATCAATGTGTGTTGTCCTCCACCGAGATCCATGAGTATACTGCTTGAACTCTAGCACTACAGTATCTGCAAGCACCACATTGAGGTTTAGAAACCATGACAAAACACTACGACATAACAGCTTTGGAGTTGCAAAGTGAAAAGAACTTGCATTGCTATGTACTGTATCATAACATTAGAAGACATGGCATTAGATTTCGAGTAGTCAGTTCATTTTTCCTTGGAACAGTTGATATCTACTAGACTATCTGTTATTGCTTCATTCCCCTGACACTTCTTCCTTTATAATGTTAGAAAGTAAATCTGTGAAACCTTACATGAAGTTCTAACAAATTGAAAGAATAGAACTTTAACAAATGAAGGGCTTAGATTGAAATTGGATATAGACGATTCATATAGCCGACTTAAAAACAAAGATAGTTTATTGATTGATTGAATAAATCAAGGCTTGAGGACTATTACCAAGTGATTGATTGATTGATTTTCTCAAATGATAAAAGGTGTTCAAAGTGAATATATAGTCACACCAAACTACCATCTTAATCAGACTTGTCATATTTTGCTTTGATAACTTCAAACAAAAGATGAGTTTAAAATCTATATAATATGAAATGAGGTGTGGATATGGGGTCCAGAAGTTAATATTTGAATTATGTAAGAACTTGACGAACTCCACAAAAAAAAAAGAGATTTGGTGAGGAAAAGATAGGGAAAAAAAAGTTGCTAAGGTAGAGCTCTTAAGAGTCCTACTTAAAGTTAAAGGTAGTTCTTTAGTTAAAGCATGGACCTTTTCTTTTTCATTTTTCCTACCGGATATCAAAACAAACCATAACGATTGCTTCTAGTCATGAGTTCCCCCTATGACATAAGGGAAGAGATGTGAAGTTGTTACTAATAGTGAAACTTCACAAGATTTGTAAGACTATGAAATTGAAAATCTTGGACAATCAATCTATATATTAATATAAGAGGCATCACTAATGCAGCTCCACAAGGAAGGATCATAGGCTGAGAAAATTACAAGTCTCTTTCAGATTGCTTATATTATTAAATATGCTCCACTGAAACAGCACTTATGACCATGTTGGAAGAAAAAATGACAAAATGAATAGGACTTGTCTTGTGTGACATAAAAGATGAGCCCACATGCAAAGTGATGGGAGTCAAAGAGGGGCCTTAACTCAAGAAAAGGTCTATCTATTTTGTGATAATGATGAATTGTCAATTTAGCTAGAATTAAAATTCACAGCTAAGATGTCTTCTTATCCTACATATATGTGTGAAAATCTTGAATGCACAACTACGGAGGTTAACAAGCTTTTTGTAGGTCCACCTTTTCTTCGAAATTAAGCAATCTAACAAGAATATGTGTATTATAGTCATTAATCTGGACCACAAATGAGACCTATGATCTTGATTCTGATGGAGTTTATGTTTCTTGTATTTTGTTCCGTCGAATAATTGACTTAGCAGCTATGTTGCTTGGACTCTTCAAAAATGCCAACGGGTGCGTGTCGGATTCGCCAAAAATAGTGTATTTTTGGAGAATCCGAGATAGGTGCGGCATCAAAAGTGAAGAGTCCGTGCAACTAAGCTTAGCAGTGTATAAGGTGAAATGTTTGAATTCAGCCCGTTTAAGAAGGCAATCAACAGATAACTGGTAAGTAAAGTTACGGCTGGATTCTCCAATTGACTTGGTATAAAAGTATACGGCTGAAAAACATACTAGCTATGGATGTGAAAGGGGAAATAACTCACCACTTTCATGACAGCGGCAGTAATACTCATTTCCATCACACGTTTCCAAGTGGCCTACAACACCATACCACCAGCCTACAAAATATGCCACAAAAATTCAAAGATTGGAAAAACCAAAGATAGATTTTTCAATATCATCAAAACACCAATCAAAGTTCGTTACGTTTCCTAGAAAGAAATTGACAGTGGAATCAAATCAAATAATAGGATGTCAAGTTTCTACTAACCAGCTGATTCAACTTTCTACCAAACAAGAAAGGCTGGCCACCTTCCATTTTTTTTTTAAAAAAAATAACTGTTCATAGCACTCCCAAGATGTACTATTGAAAATATATTCCAAAATTTATCAATAAAAAGTTGTGGTCAATTAAGGCAGGTTTAACAGTTCAACACGTTTTAGGGATCAAGATAACAAGGACCTTTTTTAAAAAAAAAGAAGATTCTAACAAGTTGGAAGTAGGACTTGGAGTAGTCCTCTTTCCTGTTTGTAACACACCATCCACAAGACCACAACTAAAGAATTTTAGAGTACTACCTAACTTCACCAAGTAACATAGGAAGGAAGAGGAAAGGCAGTAAAGGAAATACAACAACAACATAATCCCACAAGTGGGGTTTCGGAGGGTAGAATAGAGTGTATGCAAACAGTCCCGACCTTGGAGGTAGAGACTGTTTTCGATAGACCCTCGGCTCAACAAGGTGATAAATATATACAGTTGTTTCAAAAGTAATGAAAATAGAAAAATGTTTGAATGGTTTATAAGGGAACAAACCATAAGGGAATTCTTTGTTTCTTCTCCATTGAATCTCAATGCGGTCACCAGGGCATAATTCAGTCAAGCAATCAGAGATATAAAGATCATGTGGAGAGGTATCAAGAGGGGGAACTCTTAATCTATCCCATGTTACACCTGTCTCTATTGCCATTGCCCTCCTTCCATGTGGAGGATATCTGCAAACAAATTAGAAAAACAAACTGATTTCGCCTAATTCATCGACAATATATATATAACAAGAAGATAGAATTTCTTGATCCCTTTTTAATTCCATATGTAGTTTTTTGCTGATGACAGGTAGAAGGAATTCCTGTCTAACTTACAATGGAAAATTCTGAAAACATATTCCCAATTACCTGGCCTGGAAAGTGTCGGTTCTTCGACTATAGCTAAGCTCAGCATCATAGCAAGATAGCATAAAACCAACATGCCCATTCTGCAATTGGAAACAGAGAAAATAATCTTTGTGATTACATTACACACACACAAAAAAGGTAAAAACTATTCAAGCTGAAGATTTAAAATCAAGAAAATCGATGATACCTCGCGATTGTAGACTTGAGCAGGGAACCAAAACTTGCCAGATTCAAGAGCAAGATACATAGACATGATTGAATCAATAGCTGGGGGATCCTTTTTCTTGAAACTAGTGCTAGGATTAGATCTAACTAATGAAATAGGCCAAAACTGGGAGAGGTAAGTCATTAAACCTCTTTTTTTGGCCTGATTAAAGAAACTTGAATCATTTCTTGAAGAAATATGCCACAACCACTCTCTATGAGCAGCAGGGCCAAGAACTCTACCCCATTTTTCTTTCATATGCTTTTCCCAAAGATATTTACTTGCGCATTTCTCCCTCAAAGAGCTACAAACACTTGCCATACTATAAAGTCCCTCAGGTGGGAGCCTCTCAAGAATACATTCCAAAACCAATTCAGGCAAATCCAACACAGACATTTCAGAATTTGTCTCAACATTCTCTACTCTATAGCTGAAACTCTTCCTCCTCAGTGTCATTACATTTGAGGACATTAAAGATTCTAAAAATCCTTTCTTGAAAGGGTTCAAAATCAATAAATCATTCCAAAACCAGATTGATAACAATCTCACCTCAGAACTACTCCATAAGGGAAGTGGTTTAAGGGAAAGAGACTTACAAAGGAAAGTAATGAAAGTAAAGCAAGCTATCAATAAGAAAAGCATTTGTTAAAGTTGAAAAAAGTTATCAATTTAAGCATAAATCATGTGGGGAAAAAGATCAAAAGTTAGGTGACCAATTATGTTAAAAGCAAGGTTAGTAAAATAAGTAGAAACTCAACTCATTTGTTTTACTCTTTCTCCTGTAACAATTATATAAAACTAAACTAATACCCCCTCCCCTTTCTTAACAAAATACAGATATTATACTTCTATTAGCTTGACGAAGCCCACCAAAACAAACTGTGGGCCTCGCCAAAACTCTAACAAGATTGACTAATTAAACTCTATTACTATATACACACACCCTTTACCCTTATGAGGAAAAAAATGGAAACAATGGATAATTTGTGTTCA